TTGCCTCTTTATATATATATATATATATATATATATATTTGTTAAATTTAGCTTTTTTAAAAGAAGTTTTTTTAATTAAATTAAATTTATTTATTTTATTATTTGACATTTAATTTAGTATGTGTTGAGCTATTTTGTTGAGCTCATATCTATAATTTAATGAGTTGTGAATTTAAAAAATTGACTTGGTTTATAAAGTTTACCCGGCCTTCCTTAATTTTTTTTTAAGTTTTTTTTTTAATTTCATCAATTATCATTTTATTTTATTTATTTATTTATTTTTCTTTAGGTTTTTTTTGTGGTTTTGAAAACAACAAGGGTTAACCTTTTACATTTTTAAAATTTTCTTATTTCTTTTAAAACATTAATATCATATGAATATTTTTTTATATATTTGTGAAAAATTAATCCAATCCATAGTGAATACAAACTATTTATCTAGTATTTGTTCTAAAATACAACGTGCACCTAATTTTAACTTGAAAAAATGTTTTCAAAAATCTAAACGGTATCGGATATTCATTGATATCTAACAAATACATTTCATTAGATTCAATATCATCTAGCTAAACGTGAATGGTAGTTGTAGATAAAACAAATTATATGCACATAAAAAAAAACTTGCTCTAAACTAATCCATTGCCATCCTTGTCGTTGCCCGACATGGATTAGCAGACAAATCACAAGAACTAGCTAGATTGCTCAAATAAACCGAACCCAACCAAATTGGTGGATTCTTCCAGGTACAATGTGATGGTTTGTTTAAAACGTTCACTATACATTCATGTTTGTTTTGAAATTTCATAAACTATAAAAATGAACCAACTCAAAGTTCTACAAGCAATGCTTTTTGTTGAAAATATATAAAAATAATAATTTTTTATTTTCTATTTGAATTTAATACATCAAAATTATTAAAAAATATAATAATTTAATATTTTTTTCGAAAAAAACATACCATATCAAAAAATAGAAGTCACTGGACTCTAAAATACTTCAAAATAAATAACTAAATCCATGACATGAGTGTTTGTTTCCGTGGTTGTTTCTGCTTTTGAAGCAAATCACAGCAATATATGATTTGGTAACAATTAAAATGATATTTACTGTTTATGGGTCCCATGATAAATTTGCATTTGAAATGCAGGAGGAAGGAAAACAACTTTTTGCTGCTTCTTGTACGAAGGAATTACACGAACAATATAGTCATGCTCCATTATTCACGTGAGTAGTGGAACATAACTATATTGTTCAATGAACAATGGAGACATTTTCTACTATTCCGTCCGGGCTGGGTCTGGTTTAAAGCTAAAAATACATTGAACCGGATCCGACTTAGTAAAATAAAATAAAAAAATTATTTTTTAATTTTTAATTGTGTCTTATTTGAAAAAATAGTGGTTAATATTATTCATTGATACTAAATAAATTCGACGAAAATCGCTTGATGATATAACATTTATAAAATTTGATCACAATTTTAATTTTGTTCATGATTATATTTTACTTGATATTGTTAAGCGTTTAAGAACCCAAAAAAATGTAATCCTTATCGAATGTATTCCATACATGTTAGAATTGTAGATAATTTAATGAAATAATAAAAAATATTTCATATAAAATTTTATTTATTCCCTGATGTAATAACAATAGTTAAATCTACAATATTTAAATTAAAAACCATCAATATTAATATATATATATTTTTGAAAATTATTTTATAACCTTCATTTCAAAAGCATTTTTAAATAAACATATTAAATTATTTTTTATTCAACCTCAATTTCAACTGTAATTTTAATAAAATATATATAAATACTAAATTAATCTTAATTAAAAATATTTTTTATAAAATATTTTTTTAAATTATTAACACAATAATTATCACAATACTAAACAGCCTTAGTACACTTGTAAACAAGTCCTATCCCACAGTTATCCTATGAAAATGGAAATCAAAGGCTGGAGGGTGAATCGAACCAAATCGAACCGCCCAGGAATTGATCCTCCTCAGGCGACGTAGTTTTGGCTGATCAAACAGCCCAAACCAACCACCTGATGCTGACCTTAAAATCATTAGTTTAATTACCCACTTGTCCCTTAGCTCTGAGATGATGGTTAACTTTCAGTTTTAACCAATCTGATAATCTAATCTAATCCAAGTGGTTAGTCATTGTGTTAGAGAGGATAAGCACGAGGAAACAAGGCCCTTTCCAATACCATTGGCTATGTTGGTCATGTAGTGCGCCCACAGTCCCAACACATTACCCGCACAAACCCGGAAACCGGTTACTTGTTTTACCTCCAAGCGGTTTTAGCACACGACCTCCCGAAAACCGGGAGTTTTCTTTTTCTTATTTGTTTTAGATACCGGGAGCTCCCCGTGGACCCCAGCTCTGGACCTCCCCGATTATGTGGCGATTCGACCGCACTCTAACACCAAAACGTGTTCTCCACGCGTTGCTCTCCTGTCTTCTTAAGATTTGGACCCACTTGCATGCCTGGCTCTACTATATTTTCAAGGACCGTCTTGCCCTCCCTCCATTTGTTCTTAACCAAATTCGGCACCGTTTATACCTACAAGACTTATAATTAATGCTTTTACGAATAATAGTATCTGTATGAATTAGTTTTTTTTTAAATAATACCTTTCATTTTATTTTCTTATAAGAAATAAAATTTATTGATTGACCTTTGAAAAACCATCAAGATATTAGAAACTATGAAAAGTGTTATTGATAAAATATTTATTCGCTAAAATGCATGGGCATTATGTTTCCCAAGCTTACCAAGATATTATATCATTAAATTAAGTAGCTGCTTCCAAGAAATATACTATTATGTAATTTACCATGGGTATAAATTGTAGATTTATTTACAGACAAGAAATAAAGAAGAAAATAGAATTTGATATTAAAAAATCTTAAACATAGTAAAAATAGAAAAAAAAAACCTCAATATTTCAGGATATTTCATTATGCTTCAGCTGAATTCATGAATATTTAAAGGGATCAAATACCTCAGGCATACCTTATGATACAATAATAATATATCTAACAAAAAAAAATGTAATTTAGAAAAAGCTAGACAAAGGATGTAATTTTAACTCAATACCAGGGCACATGGGTAACCACGAAGTCCAGATAAGAGCTTCCGTTAAAGTTACCGCAAACATTTGTTGGCATGCAAAGAAACAGCTCCTCGCCTATGGCAGCATAAAACAAGCTTCTACTATTGGGAGTTCTCCTCACGCTCTCCAAGTGAAAGTAGGAAACCTTCATTCACTTTTCAACATTTTTGAAATCAATATTTTAAGCACAACCAGACTTAAAACGAGAAGCAGTAGAACAAACTCCAACCTCCTTGAATGTGGAAACCAGTGTTTTGGAAGATACATGAAAAACAAGTTGCGTCCCCTGTACCTCTAAATCCAGCGGCTCCTACTCTTATCTTCTCCTCTCTTATTCATACATAAGCCCACCCTCTTGTCCAATACGCACAGCACATCCTCTTATATACTCATTTCTCTCTTTCATAAACCACCAAGTTCAAACACTCTTTCGTTTCTAGTTCCTTTTCTTTCCAACCCTAGTGGTCTTTTGATTTGTCACAAAACTGGAAGCAAAAATGCGGATGAGTTGTAATGGATGTAGAGTTTTACGCAAAGGCTGTAGTGAAAACTGTAGTATTAGGCCTTGTTTACAGTGGATCAAGAGTTCTGAGTCTCAAGCCAACGCTACTGTTTTTCTTGCCAAGTTTTATGGCCGTGCTGGACTTATGAACCTCATCAACGCTGGCCCTGAACATCTCCGTCCTGGTTAGTATATACATGTAAACTCTTAAGAATTTTGAGTTATCCCAAATATTTTATAACAAAAGGGGTTTCTGGAAATTTCGGAGTCTTTTTTTGACCCTTTCAAGTTTTGATTTAAAAAATACGAGCTCAGCTTTTGCTAGTTCAAGAAATGCGTCAAGATTGTTGATGGTTTTTTTTCCTTCATAATTTAAATGACCTTTAAGAATCTTAATCTAGAAATGCTTCGGATATTCTGTATGATCCTTCAAAAGGTTTTCAATTTGAAATCCAAGATTATTTCTTGTTGATGCAAGAAATGCTTCTATGTTCAATACTTCGTTGTTGATGCCTTAAGTTTCCATACCAAGGATCTAAAACTGATTTTTTTTTCCGACAGCGATTTTTAGGTCGTTGCTTTACGAAGCATGTGGGAGGATAGTGAACCCGATTTATGGCTCGGTTGGGCTGATGTGGTCGGGAAGCTGGCAGCTTTGTCAAGCCGCTGTTGAAGCCGTACTAAAAGGTGCTCCGATAACTCCTATTAACTCTGAAGCTGCAGTTAATGGCCATGGCCCCCCGCTCAAAGTTTATGATATACGTCACGTTTCGAAAGAAGAAAACTCGGCTGCGTCAAATGATGCAAACCGAGCCAGGACTCGGTGCCGGGTCAGGCGAGTTGTGAAGCCGAAAGCTAGCAAGCGGGCTTGTTTTGGTAATGGTTTGGCGTCCATCGCTGTCGACACGTTGTCGGCACGGGACGAGTTGACTCGTTGTACTAGTCACGAGTCCTCGGTGAGTCACCAATCCGAGTTGGCAGTGTTGGATGGCGACAGCAAAGAGTCTGATGAGAGCATGGTGTCTGTGGAAACAGCCGAGGCTTCATTGCTGTTCCCCCCCAACCCCGAGTCGAAAAACGATTGCAAGGCCCATGATGTTGCGAGTAACGGAATTTCTGGGCTTGAGCTCGGCCTGGACTTGACGCTGGGCTTTGAGCCCGTGTCACGTGCACATCACGTGGTTCCCGTGAAGAAGAGAAGGGTGGAAGCTTACGGGTCTTGTGATGTTGACACGTGTAAGATGGAGCTCAGACTTGAATATCCTTGAATCGATGAAGCCCAAAGGAATTGTGAAAGAGAAAGTCCAGTTTTGGCGGCTTGAGTCTGGGTTTTGTTTAGAAGAGATGCCAGTTATGTTTTTTCCTCCTTTTTTTTTTTGGCCCAACTGTAATTTTTATTTTTTTTTATAATCTTTTAGGCCCTTTATGGTGAGAATAGAGCTGTACAAATCTGGTTTTACATGAACAAAGACATGGTAAATGATCAACAGAGCGATCTTTCTAACTTTCCTTGGCCTTTTTGTGCCTGGAGCAATCAAGATCTCGTAACTTTCAGCATTTTGAAAATCAGTATCTTGTAATTTTCGGCATCTTAAAACACAACCGCTGTTACACTCTTCACCATACGCAGATCGTTATAGATCATGTACGGCCTAGGTGTTCATCATGGACATCCCAGATGCTCGTATCACGGGCCGCTGTCAACATATGAGGTGGAGGTCAAGGAATTCAAGAGCGAAGATCTCAACTACCTTGATAATGATCAATCCTGCAATTAGTGGTGGGAGACACGGCAGCAGTGAGTAGGTGTAGACGAGGGTGGAGAGCGTCAAAGGCATTTATTGTGCATGTTTGACTGGATTTGTTGGCGTTTGGTGGCATTTGATGCGAGGAAATGATGTTCAAAAGGGTAGAAAATTTTGATGGGCCTTTTTCAAAACGTACGATGAATTCAGCATCTGGCGATACCCAGACAAGGAATCTAGGCGATGTGCGTGGGTTGCTGGTGAAGAATCAGTGCTGTGTACTGAAGTGCTCTGACACGTACATGCGCATGTCTTGCACTTGCAAGAAAAGGGCTGAGGTGTGACTGTTCTTGATGGAGCCTTTAGCGTAGGTTCTGTCCTTTCAGTTTTCCATCAGAGGAAAAGGGCATGGCTTCCGTCCGACCAGGAATCGTGGCTGCTGCCCCGCCCTTAGCTCGTCACGCCCAGTAATTTTGAATCTGTTCCACGCTCCTCTTCTGTGCCCTTCGATTTACATGTAAAATGCAAATCTTATGAATCTGGTATTCCATCTGAAAATATTTTCGTATTCCGTGCTCCTTGAAATTATCAATTTAGTATTTTTTTTAATAAATAAAGTAGAAAAAACACTTAATCATCTATGACCTCGACCAAAAAGAAGCCAAACAAGGCATGCATATCATCCTCATTTTCCTTATCACCTTGTGAATGTTTATTTATATTGCATTTTAAAAATAATTTTTTTAAAAATAGATTTTTTTGTTTTTAGATTGTTATAATGTACTTATGTATAATTTTTATTTTAAAAAATTATTTTAATATATTTTTAAATAAAAAATACTTTAAAAACAACAACTACTACCAGATACAGAATAAGAAAAAAAAATTAAAGGGAGTAAATTAAAAATTATGAGAGACAAAGTTAAATTTAAAATTTATGTAAGGAGGGTCTTTGTCAGGGCAAAGTTAAATTTTTTGTTATTTTTAAAATATTTACATGAAAAAAACTAAGAAAAAAATTTATGTAAGGAGGGTCTTTGTCAGCCCCTACCTCTACCAGTAACTATCATAATATAAAATAAACTTATTTGAGATAATAATAGTGATATTTTTTTTAAATATTTTTTATTTAAAACTTGTTTGAGATAATAATAGTGATAATTTTTTAAAATATTTTTTATTTAAAAATATATTAAAATAATATTTTTAATATTAACATATTAAAATAATTAAAAATTATTTTAAAAAATAAAATTTCATGAAACTCTGATTACACTACTACCCGAAACAGGCTCCTAGTTAAGCAAAGGCACATGCAATGTAACAAGCAGGGCAGAACAACAAATCAAGAGCAGGTGGGGGTGTCCATAGAACAGGATGCAAACATATGAAAATCTATATAGATATTGACATATAATATTCCAGGTTTAAGATAGTAAAATACATATCTCCTAAGAAATAAGAGTAATTAAATATTTTGAAAATTCTAAAATAAAATTGTAAAACTCCTCACAAGTTTGGGAGAGGGTCACATCACGCTCAGCCTTCAAATGAAGTTCGGCCTCTTATAGCAAGTTAGGGGACACATTCAAATGCGTGGGGCCGTTGATATTCCTATTCATTGATCGTCGGATTCTTATTGACACAAGTCTGATAAGGGATTTTGAGTAAATTATCATACTCTACGGGAACTGAACTTAAAAATAAAAAAATAAAAAATAAATAAACTATGAGAAGAACAATATTGTGTTTTTTTTTTTGTTGGTGTAAAATATTTATTCTACCACAGTTAACAAAAATAAAAAATATAATTTGCAAAAATAATGGGAAAACATTGTTTTTTTTAGTTTTTTCTCTATTTAGCCCTTTTAAATTTAGTTTATTTAGGATTGGGATATATAATTTATTTTGGTTAACTTTGCAAGGTTTTCTAGCTTGTAATGTTGAAAAAAAGGTTTTGACATTAAATTAATGTTTAATTTAGTAAAATTTAATTTAATTTATTTTTTTAATTAAACATAATTTGAAGACTAAAATTGCGTTGAAATAAATCACCTGAATCCTTCTCTTTTTGCTACTGTAGCTGAAACAAATTAATAAACCATGCACAACTCAAATTTATGCACCAACTATTCAATTCACAAATAAAATTTTTACTATATTAAAATCAATTTCTTTTGTTATATATTTTTTTTTTACTGGCGAGAATGCACGAGTCACCTTGCTAGTTTGGTGCTAAACTTAGAAGGGTGGTCCAGGAGTAAATTTATTCCAACCTTGTTATTTAGGGCTTAAAATCTTAGAAATATTAGGAAAAAATATTTTTTAATATACCAATTTGAATTTGAATTGAATAATTTGTTTATTATCATTTTAATAAGTTAAACCGGCATGACAATTAAGATATCCTTACCCTATAAAATAAAAAGAGATATTTTTATATCTATCATTTATTATTTACAATAGTTATCTAAGAACCATTTATTTTTGAGTCAATTACTAATTTGCATGCTCGCACTTGAGGGTTGAATAATTTTTTTTGAATGCAACAAAAAATATCCAAGTCTTAAAAAAATATTTGAGATTGTTATTAAACTTAACCTAGCAGGTGAACCTCAAAACCTTTTGACTCAACTCGTTGGCTAGCCTGGGTTTATAATTAAACCATGTGAAAGTTGTCTCGACGTGACTCAGTCAATCTGACTGATCCAAAGACAACTCGACTAATTGGTAAAAGAAGTATTAGGATGAAACTGAAAAAATAATAATAACATTAATAGAAAAATCCTCTCGACCTATTTCCTTATCTAACTTGGGTTTAAAACTAAATAATGTGAAAGTTACTCCTAATATAATACAGTCAAGAAAATAAGTTCAAAGATAAATATTAAAAAAAATAAAGATAATATTAGAAAAAGAAGAAATATTAACAAATCCATAAAAAATGACAGTTGTTTTAGTAGGTGTTTGGGCCTATTGTTGTGGCTGTGGTTGGAATCAAAAGCTCTTTTAAAGGTTTGATTAATATTAACCACACTTTTTTTCATGTGGGTCCCACTCCAAAACTAAGGATTAGCCGCGGTTTGTGAGAAGTTCTTTGTCATGTTCTCCTCTCTCTCTCTCTCTGTCTCTTAACGATATTGTATAATTTTAATTAACATTGCAAAACTTTTCCGTTGGCTAAAAGCTCATTTTCCCTTTTGTTCCCAAATTATTGCCATTGATCTGGATTATCATTTTCTAATTTCATCCTTTCTTTATATTCCTTTCTCTATCCCTTCTTTTTTCAAACAAATATCTGTAACCTTCACCTTCACTGATATGTCCCTCTATTGTTTTGATTTGCAGAAAAATATAATAGATCCATGCTGGGAAAAGTCACACAAGAAAGAGACCCGTAAGTTGTTGCTTTATCTTTATCTTTAATTTTTTTTAAATTTAGCTCAAAATTTCATTTCCATGCTAGGTCTTCATTATTTTGATTTGTAGAAAAACAATGCAGATCCGTGCTGGGAAAAGTCACACGAAAGAGAGACCTGTAAGTTCCTATCTTATCTTAATCTTTATTTTTATTTTAATTTAGCTAAAAATTTCATTTATGTCTTGCTTCATGATTTGTTTACTGTGCGCGATTATATTTGTTCTACTTTAAAATTTGTTTTGTTGTCATCGTATACTAGTTTACAATATTACTGCTTGATTTTTGTTTGTTTATCGGAAACAATGTGATGCATCCATGCTGATCAATTTACAGTGCATAATTATATGTTGTTTCTGCTTGATAAACGGTAGAGTTCTTAACAATCATTTGTTTATAAAAAATTCTAAGAAGGAGTGACCTATTAGCATTTCCATAGTGTAAGATTGGACTAAAATCTCACTATCTATTACTTTGATTTCTACTTTTAAAGGAAATCAGAACTTTAATTTTGCATTTGTGTGTTTGGATGCTAAGAAAGAAAGGCGAGTTACTTTGAATCGAGAAATAAATTCTTGACTTTTTATTTTTTTCCTTTGTTTTCTGAGAACTCAAACAGCCTGTGTTTCTACACTTGATCATTTTCTTTTAAAGACATAAATAAAAACTAATTTTCCTGAACAATAAAATAGAATTAATGGGTTTTAATTAGTTTTGATGACAAATTACAACTCCTTCTAGTTTACTTGGAATTAACAGGAACATTCTCATTCAAATGAAATGCATGGTCAATGTTTGTTGTAACTAACCACATAGCTTTTATAAATGCAAAACATTGATTATTTTTTTATTAGTTGAACCTACAGTTATATATCTCTTTTAAAGTAATTGATATCATTGATTGATTTTAATCTTTTGTTAAATGTTTTAAAAGATACCATGGAAGATCTTGAATCTTTAAATAAGGCTATTTGGATAAAGAAAATGGTGTATATATTTTATGATCTATGCATTGAGGTCATTGATATTGGAATGAGATCTAATACTCATTTCAATAAAATAGGGTGAAAATTTCTTATAACATCATTCAAAGAACAAACTGGTCATGCATTCACTAAAACACAACTAAAAAACAAAAAGGATTGATGCAAAAAGGATTGAAGGATATGGACAAAGCTGGTTTCTGAAAATGGTGTCGACTAGAGTAGTGGATTAAAAACAAATTCAGACAAAATGAAAAAATGGTGTCGACTAGAGTAATGGATTAAAAACAAATTCAGACAAAATGATATTGAATCATCTTTGAAGATTAAATTTGACAGAATATTTTCTAATATTATCATAACTGGAGAGTTTTTATGGGCTTCTTCATTAGGTGTTCTTGGTGGTAGTGATGCCAATCATGGCATAAGAAAAGCTAACATTGATGATGCTGATTTTAAAGAAGGAAGCTGTGATTTGGAGGAGGATGGGATTTCAAATTTAGACACTGACATGTATCGAATGGTTGGTGGGGTGAATATATGAACCAGCAGCAGCATAAAGAGTAGTAGCAAAAGAAAAAAGCGAGACCCTTCTAAAGGTCAAGGTAGAAAGAAGAAAACGTTTAGAATTGGTGTTCAACTGTTGTCAAGATGGGATCAATTACTTAAGAGTATGTCGACTAAGAGTGATTAGGCTTCTTTGAATATGGATTGGGAAGGCTGTAGTATTCCTGAGGTGATGGATGAGCTCCACTTAATTCCCGAAGTTTTGGTTGATGATGATTTTAATGACTTTTCTACAAATTATGTTGGTTTAAAAAGGAAATGAGAAATGTGGTATAATATGAGTGATCTTGAATAGAAGTTCAAATGGTTGCAGCAAATATATACACAAAGTAAACATGCATAGCTGATATGATATGATTTTATTTTTCTTAAATGTTAATCAATTAACTATAGAGAAGTGCTAGCTAAATGTACTGTGTGATGTTATTTGACATGATCAATAATTTATTTATACATATTTATTTATTTTTTATAGAATAATATGATGATAATTTTGAAAAGAGTAGCTTCCACTTACCGAAGTTTGTTTGAGTCATTGTGTTATTCCACATTTTGTGTTGAGAGATATGTGTATATTCATTATAATTAGTTTTTTTATTGTTGTAGTATTTATGGTCTTTTTATATGAGATATCAGATTGTTGAGTTGCATATATTTTTTTATTTGAATTTATATTTTAGAAATTAGTCATTGTATTCATGTATTTTTTACATTAGTAATTGGATTATTTAGTTGTGTGTATTTTTTTTATTTGAATTCATATTTTAGAGATTCGTCGTTGTTTCAAAATAAATTATATTAATTGTGAGTATAACTTTTTACGGTAGGAGAAAATAATTAGTGTAAAATTTAAAGATAAAAAGTTGCAAATAAAGATGATGCATGTGATGGTTTTAGAGTGCAAAAATTTAAAACATATAGGACCAAAATGTAGAGTAATAGAAATAAAACAGTGGGGCCAAAGCATCTTGAATAATTGAATGAGGACAATAGCTATCTTGGACTGATGTGAAAGCAAAATATTATACAACTCATACATGTGAGAACACAATTATTTTGAAAGTAAAATATTTTAAAAGAAATGAGGACATCATTAAAATTTTTCTATATAAGAAGTTATGCGTGTTTTATGATTTCTAATGACATAACTTCTTTCAGAACAAACCTGTCAATTGCATTTGATATAAGCAAGGGGAACACTTTCTTTTTTAGCTTTACAGGTATGTAATAAATAATTTCTCACGAACTATTTGATTTTTTTTTTTTCACTGAATGATATTTAAATACTTATAGTATTTTATGAGCAATATACTATTTTTTTATTTACATGTAATTGAAGATATGGATGATCTACGGTTTAATGCCATAATTAATGAAGATTTTGATAATGATAATGATAATATAATGAACCGCATTGTAGACCATATTAATTATCCTAGTTGTAAAGGTAATGTTGCCTCAATTACTAATGTTGGAGATAATGGTGATGGAAACGACGACGGTGATGAAGACAATGATGATGCTGATGAATTTATTTTAAGGAGTCAATTTGATATGAGTAGATTAATTATATGCACGGCTAAAAATATAAACATGTACTTTATTAATTATATGCACAAAGAACTATGCATGGTTTCATACAACAAAGAGATGCATTGGATGGATGAATTTTAAGAGGTCATTGAAAACAATATGTTAATATGTTTAGAATGGACACAACAACTATATCTGTGTAATGATTTAAAAACGCATCATGGCTTAAAACCTTCAAGAAAAATGAGCATTATTGAAAAGGTAGCAATGTTTCTATTTATAATAGGTGTAGTGGTGTCAATTAGAGAAGTGTGAGAGAGATTTCTACGTTCAGGTAAAACTGTTAATAGAAGTTTTGAAGAAGTCCTAAAATCATTATGTTTATTTGGTGTAAAAGTTAAAAAACCAGTAGATCCTTAATTTACGAGCACAACAAGAGAAATTGAAATGAATCCAAGATGTATGCCACATTTTAAGGTAAGACAAATTTCTTTTTAACTAAGTTGTTTAAATGCATATGAAATATTTTATTCATGATTATTGATTAATACTTAAAAGTGTATTTTTATCATGGTTTTATATCATCATTTTGCACTTGAAGTATTAATAACTCCTTAACTAAAATATGTTTTATAATAATGTATCTAATAATATAAGATACCTATAATTTGTGGTAAATGTCTATTTTTAATGCAGGTCTATCACATAAATAAAAGGATTGATTGATGACTTGAAGAACATAAATTGCAAGGATAAAGAGATGGCCAAACTTAGAAAAGAGATGTCGGTGCAATCCAAACCGGAACACTGTTCGGTAATTGGGTCATATCTGGAGCTACAGATCTCAGATTTAGGTCAAATTTATATGGATGGAAAGGTAAGACATAGGCCTACAACTTTCATATGGAGCCCAAGATCTAAAAAGGCCATTATCAAGTCCAAATTATAGCAACAACAAAGAAGCCCGAATCTGTCTTCCAGCCCGAGCACTGTTCGGTATTTTGGCCATATCTGGAGTTCTAGAAGTCCAAATGAGCTGAAATTTTTACACAAGAAAGCTGAGACAATTGCCTACAACTTTCATGTTTACAACTGGCTCCAATTTTGACGTTATCAATGACGTTTTGGGCAGACAAGAGAAGATAAGGATTGTCACCAAGTCAAAAGTTGGTCACCCACTTATCAATTAGTCATCAAATCAATAGTTCCCAATTTTGGCCTATAAAAGGAGGCATTTGCCATGCATTTAGGCATCTTGGTGTTCAGATCAAGATCATGCTCTTCCTTTCTCTCTTTGTATTTTTTATGCTTTGTTTTCATTAATATTAAGTTTATGCCTTTCATTTCCTTTCCTTTACTTAGTTAACTTTTATGTTCTTATTTTGTTTATCTATTTTGCTTTCTTTCATTATGTCTAGCTAAGTTAATTATGTCAAGGTGAAAAGGTTACACTAATGGTGTAAGAATAAGTATAATGTAAACTTAATATGGACTTTAATGTTTGATACTAACATGTTTTATATTTGCTATCTTGTTCACTCTTTAATACTTTGCTTGTTAAATGACTAATCTTGATTTATGTTGTATAACACTTGGTACAACAAATGCTTGGCACTTTCATAGCCCATAATGTATGGTATAACCGACACCTGAGCTATGAAAGGAACTTGATTTATAATTGTTGTTTATAATTTGTACAATTAATCTCCCTGTGGTTCGACCCCGGTCTTGTCGGGTTATTTATTACTTCGACACTCCTGCACTTGGGAGAAGACATCAATCTTTTAGTCGTGTCAATTATGATTATTTAATTTTTCTTGGCCTGTAGAATTGTGTTGGTGCAATTGATGACACACATATTCGTGCTTGCATATCATCTAAAAATCAACTTTCATTTATTGAAAGAAAATGTGTACCAATACAAAATGTGATAGCTGCTTGTAGTTTTAATATGCAATTCATATTTGTATGAGCATGATGGAAAGACAATGCACATGATATGTATATTTTTCTTGGGACTATTGATAATAATAATATAAAATTAACAATATAAAATTTCCAAAACTACTAGAAGGTTGTGATTTGAAATAAATTAAAGTCTTGGTAGATGAAGGCATATAATTTTGTTTTTAGTTTTGTAAGAAATTAGCATTTTGTTCTTATTTATAAGAAAATACTATTTAGTTGCTGCTGGATATCCCAATGAGTATAAGTATTTGGGTCTCTATAAAAGCGAGATGTATCACTTACAAGAATATAAACGTCGTGGACAACTAAGTGGCCGGGAAGAAGTGTTTAACTGTGCACATTCATCACTATACAATGTGATATAACGCTTTTTTAGGGTATGAAAATAGAGGTGGAGAATTTTATAAAACATGTCTGCTTATCCACATAAAATGATAGTTGAGATTGTAGTTGCATCAATGACACTATATAACTATATTAGAAGGAGATCGCAAGATGGTGATGTTTTTTCCAAGTATGATCGCAATCCTAATTTTATTCCAGATGACTTTTTACTTGATAATGTATTTCGTTCAGCTATTCAAGCATCACATAGGCTTTCACATATGGATTATATACACAATGAAATTGCAAATAGTTTGACAAACAACAATATTTTTCCATTATATATATATATATATACATTTACAATTAAACCTCATACAAAAAACATATTAACCAAATATAAGAAATTATTTTTTTACCACAATTTTAACTACAATTCTAATTAAATATATTAAACTTTAAAATGAATCTTATAAAAAAACATTTTTTATTAAACTATTTTTTTAAATTATAATGGTAAAAGCAATCAGTACCAAAGACCAAACAGATCCTTAGTAGAGAAGAGGAATACATAAAGGAAATGTTTTTTAATAAATCCTTTAAAAGGAACAGCCTGTCCGTGAGGAGAAAGTTGACGCTAGATATCTGTAAATTGAAAGAAACTAAGTGGGCTGAAACCCTAATGAGAACATGCGACTAAATTTATCTCATGGTCTGGGTCATGGGCCGGCCCACACCATACCAACGCCCAACTTAGAGAAAACAAAATCGAACGAAGAAAACGGACATTTACAAAGCCTTCGTTTTCTTCCTGCACCCCTCCCTGTCTTCTCCCTCCAGGGAACCTTTCACTGCCATCTCTACTTAGCTGCAATTTACTTCAACCATCCCCCCTGCTCTCATATTCGAATATTCTCTCAGAAACTCTCTCTCTCTCTCCCCCTCAGGTACGTGCGCCTCTCTCCTTCGCCTCCTCCTTCTCACGCTCCAAAACCCTAATTTTCTGATTTCTTACTTTATTCTCTAATTACCAGTTATTATGTTAAACTCCTGATTCTAATTAATCATTTCTGTTTTCTTACGTGCGTACTCAATGCATTTGTTTCTGCAGGATTTTAATTATTTTGTTCAAGAATGGATGGGAATAGGCGGAAATATTTCAAGAAACCGGGAAACAATCTGTTTAAACGGAAAGGAGTGAGCAGTAGTAGGAAAGGAAAATGGAGTGACTCTCACGGAGAAGAATTTTCAGGTGATGGTGATACTGTTTATAGGATACTCTGTCCTTCGAGAAAAATTGGGGGTGTTATTGGAAAGGGTGGGAATATAGTGAAAGCTTTAAGAGAAGAGACGCAATCGAAAATTACAGTGGCTGATTCTGTTCAGGGTTCGGATGAGAGAGTGATTATTATATATAGTTCTTCTGATAAGCCTCCGAGGAAAATGGATGGCGATGAAGGTTTGGCTGCGGGGAATGGACAGCAGGAGGCCTTTGAGCCACATTGTGCTGCCCAGGATGCGCTTTTGAAAGTTCATGACCGGATTGTTGAGGAGGATCTTTTTGGTGGGATGGCGTCGGATGATGATAATGACAACAATGTTGTCACTGCGAGACTTCTTGTTCCAAACAACATGGTAGGTTGTGTTTTGGGAAAACGGGGAGATGTTATTCAGAGATTAAGAAGTGAGACTGGTGCGAACATACGTGTTCTTCCTGCTGATCATCTCCCTTCATGTGCTATGGATACTGATGAATTGGTCCAGGTAACATATGTTGCTCTCTTTCCTACATTGAGTTTTACTGAACATGAGGCTCGCTACGTTTTATTTTATTTTATTCCAATTCTTTCCCCTAGTATTGAATTATAGTTATCATGCTGGCCTTTTTGGTCTACTAGATTTTTAAGTAGTTCAGATACCAAAGTCGTTTGTTGGCATTATGTAATATGGATTCATCATGTTTGTGCATTTGACATATAAGATGATAGTCATGATCTCTCTCTTGTGCTTGAAGTTAGCATTGCTTGAGAATTGTAATTTTTCTTGAACCTTTTTTAAAGTATTAATTTGATTGTCACCATGAGATTGCAATAAAGATATGTCATGACATTTATGGCATTGCATTCTTGGATGTATCAAAGGTTGCAATGTGTTATATGCATGTCAGAGAAGTTTTTTTGTTATTTTGTGTGGATGTTCAACAGGGGAAGATGTTCTGATTCTTTTGTTCCTTCTTTTTGACAAATGCTGTTATTATTTGGGCTCTTGGTCCTTAGAGTTCAAGTAGTCAGTGAGCCAAGATAACTGGTTGTTAAGTTGGAGGACTCAGGATTCATTTGCATTACTATAGGAGATGACAGGGCTTTAAAAGGTTGCCTTGTTTCTCGAGACAATTAAAATACTTGACATGGTGGAATATAAAGTACCTACTGTTCTATCACTTGACTATCATTGCTTCAGTAAATTAATTGCTAAGGTGAAGACCCATTAGGGAGTGCTTTCTTTCCTATGTTTAGGATTTCTGGCTGTGCCTTCTGGAGACTACTTGCCTGTGGTTCGGTTCTGAACGCTTAACTAGTTTTGGGCTTGCGATGTACTGTGCCCAGTCATATCAAGTTTCACTTTTAGCATCATTAGGGACAATTGCAAAGCCTACTCTTTTTAGTTAAGAAATGCTGAGGATGCAGCTTTAACCTTTTCTACTGCATTATATCTCAAGTTTGTGATTTCGCTGGTAAAACGTAAAGCAGCTCTTCCAATTGCAGTCTGATATTTCTTATAATTTGAGTATGAAATGGCATCCGAGAAGAAATCCCTTGGTTTGCAAAATGTCCTTTTGCCTCTGCAACCTTTGATGGTAACTGCAGTATGATGGGTTTAAGAAGTGCCAGCAAATACTTGAGTTTATAATTGATTGCATGAGACGGGATATGGAAATAATCTTTCATTGGCTTGTGAGATATTGACCCTCAGTGCTTTTTTCTACACGAGTAAAGCTAATTGAGATGCTCAACAACCCAAGGACTTAGTAAAAACTTCACCAGAAGGCCATTAGGATTATTGGAATTCTTTTAATGCATGTGCCACTAGTTGAATAAAGTAGTATTATTAGATCAAGTAGACGAATGTCTTATGTGGAAGATTGTGGGTTGATTGAAGTTGCATAAATGATCTGAAAGTGATCAATTGATTTTTGATATGACCCTGTTGTTCAATGGATTGTACTGTAGTCGACTCGTTACCTAAGTGGATATGTTAACGTTGTTTGGCTACCTTTGGCATTGACATCTTTATGCTTTCTACTGATTTCAAAGCACTGCTAGATTTCTTACTTGAGTTCCGCCTTGTGAATCAGCATGGTGGAATGCAGGTCCTCTTAGTAAGATGGGTCTTCTTCAACTGTTTGCTCACTTCTCATGAGCAGTTGACATATGTGATCACCATGAACTGTCCTCAAAGATGTGACAATGATTTTTCCAATACAGATCAACTGATTTGCTTGACTATATGTTCTTTATATTGGAAGGAAGGTTATAGTTTCAAGTTTGAGTTTCAGAGATACATACTGAAATGAGTATGCCCCTGCAAGAAGATCCTAGCATTTTGTTGGTCATGGAAGTTTGAAGGATGAGGCCAGACATGCAGAAGAGGTGGGTGGAGTGACCTTTCCTCACCATATTTTTATATTTAAAGCTGGAAGACTGGCATAGCTAGGGAATTAATAACATTTATGAAGGGCATTTAGTTTTGTATTTTGACCTCTTTCCTTTTTTTCTTTGGTATTTATTTTATGTTTCTTATGTGTTGTCTCATATTTTTTACTGTGTCTTTAATATAAGATGGATGGGGTTTTCCCTGACATTAGTGGATAAGCTATTAATAATATTAGGTTCTCTTTCTCCATTAAGTGACCACCACCTAGATTAGAAGTTTTACCTCCTCACCCCTGAAAAGGAAGAGTTACACATGGGGAGTTTTTAGTGATGGGTAAGGGGTAGAACAGAGCTATGCCATGGTCCCATCATATAGTCTGCTATGCTATTATCATATGCTTTGACAATTTACTTACCAACTATGGATTTTCTCATGCTTGTTACCGTGACTGGGTTACACCCTTACCCCACTGCACTTTATTGAGATTTTTAATTTTGAAGCTATTTTTTGATACTACATCTAATCCTGTCAGAAATGTGGTGGATAATCTTGCATATTTATGGGAGCAAGCATGCTACTCCTTTTCTCTTTTTAACTGGTTCAAGCTAAAAAATTTTCCTTTGTTGTGCGGTACGAAACAGGACAACAAGATTGGTCATGATGATGGTGACACTTAATTCTTAGATTCATTAAATCGTTAGTTTAATTGCATAACCTGCTTTTGGGGGTCTCTTTCAGGTTGAATTTGATGACTAAGATTTTGTCTGATGGAGTTTAAGATGGTTATTTCATTGCTAGGATTGCCTGTCTTGGCTTTCTGGAAGGCTTAACCTCTTATGACCAATGTCCATTACCGCAGTAGACTTTCCTTCTGTCGGTTTTTCCCAGAGACATTTTAATATTTCTCTATAACGAACATTATCTGGCCGGGGTAGTATATCTAGTACCTTTTATTGAGCTTTAAGCTGGCAGAATTTTCAAACAGATTGTTGCTGTTATTACTAAGGGTCTTAGTTGTTAACATCTAGCCTGAGGTCGATTGTTGTGTATCACATACTATTGGCCCTAATACATCCTGGACCTTTAAACTGCTGCTTAGATGAAAGCATGTGGTGGTATGGTGCGTGCTGATTGCATTGCACTGAAGCAGAAGCTGAGGAGGGTGTAACTTTAGCATTTATATTACAAGCAGTAAACTTTTTCCATCATATTGTGAATCTGATTATACCTCATTACTTGTTGAATATTATTTGATGATTGTGTGAGCTTACTGCTTTTGAGCATTTGTATGCAAAAGCATAATCATTTGCACTGGTGTGCATGGAGACACAAATATGAGTTTGATTGCTGCAGTTATTTCTTATGTTATAATGTTCTGTTATGGAACCATGGCATTGTGCCTGTGTGCCTTGCCTTTTTTGTTTTTGTAACATTTCCAAGTTCATGTTTATGAAATGTTGCATGTGGATTTCCCCCACTTCATTCATCTATTAAAAAAGGTGGATTATTTTTGCAATTTCCTACTGAGTGTAATTTCAAAAGCTATATTTCAGATCTCTGGAAAACCAGCTGTGGCAAAGAGGGCTCTTTATGAAATATCAATTCTATTGCATCAGAATCCGCGCAAGGACAAACTGCCAAGCATTCCTATGCCTTATGGTGGTCGAGCTTTTCATCCTCCTAGTGATTCCATGGCAAACATGCTCCCACCAGGAAATCCAATGTGGCCTCGTCGTAACTCCACTCCCCACAGTATGCCATGGATGGGGGAATATGGGAATCACCCTTCAGAATTTGGGCCAGGTGGTTTCAATGGTGTTCCTCCTGGACATGGCAGGGAGCCTTCAGCTGAGTTCTCAATGAAAATTTTGTGCTCTACTGGGAAGATTGGTGGGGTAATTGGGAAAGGAGGCTCTAATGTTAAGGTTGTACAGCAGGAGACAGGAGCTAGTATTCATGTTGAGGATGCTTCAGCGGAGTCAGAAGAACGTGCAATTCGTGTCTCTGCTTTTGAGGTCTAGCTGCTTTAAACATCACTATTTGTTTGTATGCCTAAGGTTTGGCAGTGCCTGCAGATTTGTATAGTACTGATATACATTAACAACAGCATTGTACTGATATTTTCAGGGTCTCTGGAATCCGAGATCCCAAACCATTGATGCAATTCTTCAGCTTCAGGATAAAACAAGTGACTTTTCTGAAAAAGGTATGATAATTACTAGACTTCTGGTTCCTTCAAGTAAGGTTGGCTGCATCCTTGGACAAGGAGGTCAGGTTATCAATGAAATGAGGAGGAGATTGCAGGCAGACATTCGTGTTTACCCCAAAAATGATAAGCCTAAATGTGCTTCTGATGATGAAGAGCTTGTACAGGTGATGTGGTTGAATGTATCTTTTGCTGATTTTAATGCCTTAGCTGATGATTCTGTGATGTTTTCTCCATATCCTCGGAGCTTGGCTATTATTTGAGCTAAATTTAGATCTGGTTTTTCCAGATATCTGGAAATTATGGTGTTGCTAAAGATGCTTTGGCAGAGATTGCATCCAGACTCAGAGCAAGAACTTTGCGTGATGCAAATGCTGGAACAGAACCTGGGCCTGCTGGACCTGTCCCAGGCTTTGGGCCGGCACGAAACTTACCAGGAAGAGGACCCCAACCATCTGGTATGATGGCAGCTAGCAGCTCTGGTGGATATGAACCGCTCAGGGTAATTTTTGTTACATGTTCATGCACTTTTTATGTTCACTGCAAAACTTACTGGCTTAGTATTTGTGATAAAGTCATTAACAAGGGTTATAGACTGTTCTTTTTGGGAGTTATTGTATTTTTAGATTTCTTTTCTGTAGTAATTTAATTGAATTGAGACAATGTCTTGGTTGAACATACGCTGCAGTCCCATTTAGTAATTAGGAATGTCTGCATTGAGACCACAAATTGATCTATACATGTCACAGTGACAAGTGTTTGATCTGACTAAACATAATTCTTCTTCTTTCTGCTGCAAGTCAAGCACATGCTGCATGTGTGTCTCTAATGTGGGTGAAACGCAGGCACAAACACATAATGTTTGTTTCTCTTCAATATATATTATATAGATGGTTTGCCATTTTACCCTCGCTACTCTTTTCTCAAGAAGAATTCCAAAAATCATGCCTATTGCTTGTACCTGAGTTTGCTTTCTACTTATAGGCATAATAAATACACAGCAGAATATACTACTAGTTAATGGTTTGGTTTTTTAGATGCTTAATTAGGATTCTTGAGCAGTCTGTTTTTAACTTTTTATTATTTTTATGTCAAGATATGTCCCAGTCATAATACCTATTCTTTATGCTTTTCTGAAGGGTGGAAGACGTGATTATGAGCCTCAGAGCTATCCAGTTCCTCCAGCTGCTACAGGGTATTGATTTTATATATATATATATATTTGCAAGTACACGTGAGTTTTTGAATAATAATGCTTGTTCTTTTTTCTCTCTCCTAATTTCAGATACCCAAGTATGAACCGTGTTTTGGAGGCCAATAACTCACTTAATGGAATGAATTCTGCCATGAGATCTGGAGGGCGTGATGTTTCAATTACTGATGAGGTATGTTTATATCATGCCCTTGTGGTTTAGCAGAACCATTGAAAATTGTTGAGATGCTGGGCTTCTCTGATATAATTCTCGGTTCATCTGGTTGGGCTTCTTCTCTGATATAATTCTCGGTTCATCTGCTTCCATGGGAGGTATGACACACAGACACTATTGAGACAACCACAAATATTTCCCATGCTTTTCAAATGGTGTAATTGAGTTTTGGAACTGCTTTTCCTTCAATAAGAGTTTACGAACTTTCAAGTTCTTGTATAGTTCATCAATGATTGGACGCTAGATGATTGATGACGCCACTAAGTGGTTGCATCAGCCAGGGACCAGGGACTCGGCAGACCAGATCAACATAAATACAAATCACTTGACATATCAACAGCTGACATTGGCAACTAGTCCATTCTTTACTGCCTTTTGAATTCAGTAATAACAACCCAATTTGCTGATTTATAGCTCCCGGCCAATGAAAAAGTACCGCCCATTCTAAGAGCTCCTAAAATCTTCCTCTTAAGAATTCTCCTTCATTCTGCCTTTTATTGGTGTCTTCCTTCTTATAACGGCCTTTTCTCTCTACACAGACACACACAATTGAGGTACCACCCGTCTGTTTGTCTAGATATCAAATATATTTCAAATAAGATAGTATTTGCAGGTATAATTTTAATTGCATTTAGCACAATTTCTCAGATAAAAAAGAGAGGTGTCACTTTCCAAATCTCTCATACCTCTTTATGTTTGTCTGGATACCAGATTATGCTTCCATTTACTGTCAGTACTGACGAAACTGCTAAAATTATTGAGTTGTGTGCCAAATGTTTCTGAATTCAAATAGATCATCTAGAGGAAAGTGAGTTTTTTGGAGTTTTTAATAGACATTAGGAAACCATTTAAAAATCCTAAATTGTCCGAACAAGTACAACTGCCTGTTGCCTACTACACCAGTCTAGAGTTATATCTCTGGAGATTGAGTTGTAATTTCCAGATTATTGTATAATCTCGTGTAGTCCATGTCATACATACTTGATCATGCGGGTACCTGTTGATTTTAGTAACGGTCTTGGAGCTGGCCTTGCCCTTGACAATATCCGTCCCCTGAAGGAATTTGCACTGTCATTGCCATACACAATTAGGGGAACTCACAATGAATAATGGCTTGAGTCTGGTGCTTTCAAAACAGTATAATTGGAACATTTGATAAAATTAGACTTCACAGTTGGAATTTTTGAAGTATGTTATGAAATTTTGTTTGCTCTGTACACTAACAAACATTTGTGAAATTTTATTTTTGCAAAGGATTCTTGAATCACTTTCTACAAAATGCAGTTTGCTGGGAGAAGGGCAAAGCTTCAAGATCCTCATTATGGTAGTTCTGAAGTTGAGAATCATGGATCTTCCGAGCATTTGATTGCTGGACAAGGTTTTTATCAAGGCTTCATGGCCTCTGGTGGACAGAACATGAGTGCCCACCAGGTTTCCTACCAAAACAATGTAACAGCCCAGCAAAGCATGAATCCGCAGCGAGATACCTACCAAGCCATGAGTGCTCAGCAGGACCCTTACCAAAGCATCAGTGCTCAGCAGAGCACCTACCAAAACATGAATGCTCATCCGAGCCCGCACCAAAATATGAGGGCACATCAAAGCCCCTACTCCATGACCGCTCAGCAAGGTGTCTACACGAATATCAATGTTCCACCAAGCTCCTACAGCAGCAGTGCTCAGCAAGGCACTTACCAGTATTGAGTGCTGACTTTGATTTGCCCATTTTTGTACCATAAATTGTCATCTAGTTCTTAACTATAATAATTACTATTGGAGAGAAAGGAAGGTTTCTTAACTACAACCGGCAGATCAACTTATCAGCAAGACAGGATGCACAGCGGTTGTTTTAGCTGGGATATTATCTTTGGGGATTTTTAGGGGAGCGGCGGTTCAATTTTGGCTGGCCTGTGTCGAGTGCTTAACTTATGATTAGAGCAACAGACAGGATTTTTATTCTTTTAACATGGACAATCAAATAGTCTGTGATCTGATTAAAACCTGCTCAGGAAGAGAGACGTGGGAAATCCATGAAACCCCTGCTTCGATTCCATGACTTGCGCCAACAATTCAGATTCAGATGGTTTGGTAAGCAGGGTGACGTGATTACTAGCCATCTCTTCAGCATTTAAGCTCTGTGCGCACCAGAAAGCTTTTTGTACAAAGCTAGGTTTCTTCTAAATTACGCAAAGTAGATTTTCGGAATGGATTGATATGATCTCTCTGAAATAGGGAACCCACAAGCTTTCTTTACAGCTCAATATTTATCCATAGTTTCAAAGCAGACAACCTGTGAATGCTAGGCGCAGGCTAGGTTCCGGATTTAATGGAAATGCTAGCAAGCCTACTGTACGTCTGCAACTGCTAGGCTCCGTCACAGCCAGACAAATGGTAGCACAGTGCTAGTCCACGGTTGACCTGGTTTGTAGGGGGATCGCAACTTGTATTGCAAAGCAGACAAGAGCCTGGGCCTGGGTCATTTTGCACATGCGATGCAAAAATGGATAAGAGTCTGGTATCCACCACTCATCGGCAACCAGAAAGATTTCCAAATAGATGGTCATTTCACATCCTCAATAAAGTGCACCTTCAACTTGGCCACTTGACCAGAGACATCGTGGAGATCCATGTAGAAGAAGATTTGATCTTGTTTGCATTATAATCCTACCTAGTGAGTGCCATGGAAAAAAATACGTTTTGGTTGCCTGCACAAGGAATGACTCTACAGTGCTTGTATCTTTTCACTTCACAGCTGAACACAGCAACAACAGGAAGCATCACAAGCCGTGTTTGATTGACTTTAGAACAAATTGAGTGCACCCACAATAACCATGCAACCAAACCTGTCGACATGAAATTGGTCCTGAGCTGTTGTGGTATCGAATTTGGTGATCTCCTCGACTCAATGTCATCGGCCCAATGACAAGTGTCACTAACTATTGAGTTGAGAATGCTGTCAGCATTTCACTCTGAATTCACTAAATAAAACTTTCCAAAGGGCATCATTCAGTGTAATTTGAACCAATAGAGGGTCATGCAGACGCCTGGTTGTCACCTGAGATTTCTCATGGGTTTTTCTTGCCTTAACTTTTCCATTTCTATTATGTAATGAATGCATGTAAACTTTCGATTACTAGCTCTATACAACTCGTGATTAAGGAGCCTGTTAACCCAGATTGTATAAGGATTAACTCTGGATTAGTTATTTAATGGCTTTTTTTTTAATTATTTTTCACGTACCGAGATTAAGGTTCTCTACGATCACATGTTTCTAAAAAATCATTCGAAACATAGATGATAACATAAAAAACAAACTCATCCATGGAAACTAAGGCTCTAGAAATAAGTAGAGTGACAATCATATCATGAAGGAATCAGACAAAGCAACACTAAGACAAGGAGTATAACATAAAATATGCAGTCATAATCATATCTTGAATGGATCAAATAAGATGCAACTAGCTAGACACTTATGAATTCCATTATATCCATAAATTCTAAACACGTTTCTACATTTTCTAATGCTGTGCACAGTTGAATCCCTTTCAACTGTGTTTTCCAAAAATCACCATCTCCTGTAATGTAACTGTGTCCCTTTGACTTTCTCCGCAAATTGAAGTCAACTGTTTCTTCCCACCCAGCATGATTCACTGTGCTCATTGGTCAAGCATGTGTCGACATCAAATATTCAACTATATACAAAAACTCCATTAAAAGAAAACCCTGAAGAAATAACCCAAAATGAAAGAAAAATATTCATCCACGGATGTGCAGGTCCCATTTGGTTTGAGCTTTGAAGCTTAGTTTTTGTTGAGTTGAGATGCTAATCCAAACAGGGAAAAAGAAGAAGTTAATCCTCTTTATGTGACACATCATGAAATATCTCATTTATAAAATTAATACACTAGTTAAAGAAAAAGATTACAATAAAAAAGTCAAAACATTAAGAAAAAAATAAAAAGATATATAAAAGGAGTCAAATTAATATAATCTTGGGAGGATAGATCCTTTAATAGAAAATAAATGAAATATACAAGAATTCAAATTTAAAAAAAAAATCAACCATTTTATGCATCGATTTTATAATTAACTTGATGAGGTGTTTGGCAAGATTTAATTGTCAGTTTTCCATTTAGCAAATACCTCATCAATTCTTAAATTAAAATTAACCAAAATACTTAATTGATCACACTTTTCTAGCACTGAGCTTGCAATAATAAATAAATAAAATTAAAAATGAACACACACGTTTAAATATAAAATAAAAAAATAGAACAAAATGATTTAGCAATTATCACTAAAAGATAGTGTCCTTTGCTTTGTTGAACGATGAAGTGTTAATGATGTAAGAAAATAGTTGAACGGTAAAGTGTCAAAGATATCCATTTTAAATTAATAATAATAATAATAGTAATAATAATAATAATAAATTATAGGACCAATGATTATATCTAGATAAAAGAAGTCAGGGCCAATGATTATATCTAGATAAAAGAAGTCAGGATAGGTTATAGAAATTGTTGAGGATTAATAGTGAGACACAATTTAATTCTTTAAAATTTTAAATTAAGCTAATTCTACAATATAATATGATACGAGATTAAATCTTATTATTTATATTATTTTATTAAATTAATAAAATTAAATACATTAAACAAATTTTTAATACAAAAGACTTTTAATTGGAAAGATATATTAAAAAAATATTACAACTAGAATATTATGAAATAGTTTGATTGGAATAAAAAACAAAATAACTAGTTTTTTTCTATCTTAACAGTTTTTCATTCCACCTAGAAGAGATTGAATGGTAATCCATTAACTTTTGATCTCATCTAATCTATAAAAACCACCAAATAAGAGCTATACAACATTCAATAGTGTAATTTAGTATAAAATCAAGCACAGCCTGAATTAGATATAGCACTTAGTCTACGACTCTACGTTGGTTGAGCCATTTTAGAAGCTAACCCACTAAATATAATCTTTTTGTGATCTCCTTGTCTCGACTAGCCTTTCATTTGTCAAGATTTTAATTCATGCCTAATCCCTAGCCTCTCTGTTGTGGGGTTATTCAAGTTTGCTAATCAATTTTATTATGTAGGTGCATTAAAATCAATATAATTACTTTATATTATAAAAATAACTTGACATTGAATTTAGGGATGGGTGAATGGAGGGTTAAGAGTCATGAACCTTGCTGTGATAAATTGATTGTTTTGGAAGGGAGGAATCCAATTATCCACCCCTTGCTTTCAACAATTAATATATTTCTGGGAAAAATAATTGTGCTCATACGAGTGTGTTCTTGAGAAAATAATTCTTGAATATTAAATAGGTTATTCGTATTCGATTTTTGTAGTGATTTATGAGAAACTTCTTTCTCACTTTTTTTTTTTTAAATTCAAACTCGAAATGATGGCTGGAAAATATACTTCCTATTAGCCTAAGCCAAGCCTAGCTACAAAGCTAGTATATGATAGCAATTAAAGTGGGATATAAAAGGCAGAAACCACGGCAAGTTGCATGGAAAGTGGTCCATGAAATTTGTACGTAGACACCAAATTAAGAACAAATATAGATTGATGATGCCTAAGTGGGAGCTTAAAACTAAAAATTAAGATGCCGACCAAAGTTCATCTCTTTGAACTTTTATGGATACAATATCAAATCGAAACTATGCAATTTGCTCTAAGAGGTCACCATGCACTTGGCCACACATTAGACATGCACAATCCTTTTCATCTTTCATAAAATAACTTTTATATATATCTTTTTTTTTTCAGGTTACTGAAGGAGATTGATGGCACCCCACTGTCAATTTTATAATATATCGATGAAATATTCTATTAGTAGTTAGATATTAATTCCATCAACCTAACTTATATTGATGGGATCATGAATTATTTTATTAAAATTATTTTTATTGATAATTTTTGTTCTGTTGACTATTTCATTAGTAATTTTTTCAGTATATACTAACCTTAAATTTTTTTAACCATTTATTAATTATATATTTCCATTTAAGATTTTTAGAAACATAACTCTATTAAAACTATGATATCTCCATTAATTATTTTATTGTGAATGTTATTATGTAGACAACCTCATTATTTATAAACTTGAAATTTTCTTGGAAAAAATCTATTAAACAAATAAATATATAAACAAACTAAATATACTATATTAAAATATCAAAAAGGTTAATATTTTTAAAATGAGTAAAAACAAAACATAGGCGATTTTACTCACTTAATTCCCAGCTAAATGACCAAGCTACTTAACAAGGTAAACTTTTTAGCTTCATTTTTTTTAAAGAAGAAATGGTGGAGAGGGAAAGGGGTTAATTTCTAGGTTATAATTTAATAACAATTGACATATTCGTGACAAATATTAATTATGAGCTTTTTGTGTTGGTAATGCCGTTTATAAGAATAATATGTCATTTTTTTTATATATACTTTTTATTGTGATTTTCTCGGTATCCATTAATAAAAAATTTATGTCAGTTTATATCAAAGAATATAAAAAGAAAATATTTTATCGATAAAGTTCACTATAATTTAACAATAGAATTATTTCCGTCAATATTTCCATTTATATTTACTAATTTTCTGTTTGTGCTCTCGGTTCCTTCTTCATTTTCTTCTCTTTTTAAAACACACACACACATACATCCCACTAAACTTTAATTATCGTGAAATATCATCAGCTGTTTATGGACTTGTGTGATGAGATGGTGGTGGTTCCAAAATCGGTTGATGATCTTTTTCAACACTCAGTTTTTTTTTTTTTTTTTTTAATTTTCATTTTAGGAGTAATGCAGATAAGACTTTAGTTAGCTAGAAATTGTTGTTTTCATTGATGTGGTGGTGGATTAATAGGATTTCTTTTGTGCTTTGATTCTTCACATATTAGCGTATTTACAAAGTATACTGCTGGGCATTTTGTTACCCAGCAAATGATCTTCTTCAAAGTTTAGAACAAACCAGTTTGATTCTTCTGTACAATTTTGTGGGATAAAGCAACATTTTCAGACATTGTTAACTTTATTTTTTTACCATTTTAAAAATTTATAACTACAAACATGTGCATTTAATAAAATAAATTGAAAATTGAATATATTAATAAATGATAACAATTCTATTGATTTTAAAAAAATAATAATCAGGAAGTTAAGATAAAGATGCATATTATAATATTTGATCTCATATTACTTGTAAATCTTTAATTTTTTTCGGTTATACAATATTAAATTATTTTTTATTAGACAAGAAATAATTTAAACTCCACCGAAAAAAATTCTAGTATAATTCTTATTTTCTTATTAGTATTTTTTTTTCTCAAAATACATATCTTTTTTGTTATGAATTCTTAATTTGATAAAAAAAGAATTCTAATAAATATAAATATTTTTTTCTCATCATATCAATGGGCAAAAGCATATTATGATAATACATAATTATCTATAAAACAATAAGTAATATCATCATAAAAATATTATAACCTTCTTACAAACAGACATTTGTTTTTATATTGTCATATTTTTTATTTAATTATATTAATAATAAAAATTTATACTATTAAAAAAAATTAAAAAAATAATGATCGGTTGTTATTTTTTTGTTAAAATATCTTTTAGATAAAGATAAGATATTTTGATTGCCAAAATCATTATCACAACTAATCATTTTTTTTATTTGTTATTTTTCAACAATTTTCTCTATTTATTATTCATTCTAACTTAGAGGTTAAAAAAATAAACAAAATAAACTTTTTAATTGAAATTTTTTTCTTCATAAACTTGGGGTTAGCTATATATTTTCTTTATTTTTTATATTTCAATCCTTTTTTTAATAAGATATTTTTTCCATAATTTCATCTAAGATTCAATAAAAATAAAATTTAAATGAAAAAAAGATCTAGCTACTTCTTATAGTTTATGTTATAATTCATCTTTGGATCATTCCAGTTAGACGTGGTCTGTGATCTTTTCTTCTTTTTTCTCTTGTTTTTTGTGAACAATGGAATATATATCATATATTTCATAAATTTTAAGTAAATGATAATATTGCTACTTTTAAATAATAAGTTGTTTAAGCAAAACCATTTTTATATCTTAGTTAACGCTTT